CCCCAAAAAGGATCAAATTTTTTGAGTGGGTGTTATTTGAATAGATTGGGTACATCTTAAGGAGTTTGAATCTCAATTTTGGGATAATTTGGTGGAGTTTTGAGGTGATTTGAATTGAAAATTTGAAATAGAAGATGAATATAGAAAAATATGATTTGTATGACATTGTGTGTCAATTGTGTATCAGTTATGTATCATATGTGTATAACATGTATATTCATGTATACCTGTTTGTGATATACATGTGTGATAAAATGTGTCGCAGAAGAATTTTTTAAACTCGATTTTGACAACGAACTTTGATACGAAACTAATCCAAATCACCTCCAATCTTACTTAAATCTTGTATATTGCCTCATCTATATATTTTCAATGAATTCCAATCATACCCATTAAAAACAAATCCTTTTTTACCTAGTTTTTTAATATTGTATATCTTTGATAATAAATTTTGACTCCAAATTAGTCTAATTTACCTTCAAACTTCCCCAAATTTTTTTTTATATTGTCTCATCTATGTGTTTTCAATGAATCAAAACAACGGCCATTGAAAAAAAAATCTTGTTTTGCCTTTATTTTTTTAAGGCAAAAAGGCCTCATGGCCACTTAAACTTGCACCCGATTGCCAATCCGGTAAACAAACTTACAATTTTTTCATTTGAACACCTCAACTTGACGGAATGAATATTAATACACACATCCAACCGAGTGTGTATATCAATTGCGCTTACATATCAAATATGTCATATGATAGACTATTTATTACTTGACATGTGTTATTTGTGGGTCTCATTTTTAAAATTAATTTATCGAAAATTCATTTTTCATTTTTTTACTTTTCTTCTCCACTCAAACACCTCCCCCCCCCCCCCACACACACACACACCCCAAACCAGTAAAACAATATATTGCCGGAAAAGCCTCCGCCAAACCTCAAATCCAAGAAAATAGTCGGCTTTCTTCATCTCTTTTCCTACTTTTCTTCTTAATTTTGTTAAATTCAATTAGGGATAAAAGTTTTGACCGCCAGAAAACCCCATGGCTGCCACCTCCAGTTCGCCGGCGACCAACCATATAATCACATCTCTTTTCTAAGAAGTCCGAAATCATAATTAAACAACACGCCTTTAGATCGAATCTGGCCGAAAACTCCAAGGTGCTCTCTCTCTCTCCGTGTTTAAGTTCAAAACTCATAACCTTTCTATACTCAAACCACTCACTATATTTGAGAAAGAATAAGAAAACGAGATGAGAAAGATTTGAAAGAGAATGAGAAGTACTGGATAAAAAAGGGGTGGATTGGCGGGAGATAAACGGGGAGGGGTTGCCGGTGAAGAGAAGAAGGATAGGACAGGCGAGTACTGACGGGCAATGGGTCATTTTTCCCTTTTCTTTTTCATTTTGTAATTTTTTAATTTTTTCTTTTGATTTTAGTATTTATTTTAAATCAGATTATTGTTTCACGCGCATTTTCTACGTGATTGGCACGCATTTTCTCCATATTACCTATGGCACTGCCACATAAGCATAGTCAACGATCAAAGTGGTTTATTAGTATTCATTCCGTCAAGTTGATGTGTTCAAATAGAAAAATTATAAATTTGTTTATTGGGTTGGCAATCAAGTGCAAGTTTAAGTGGCTAGGAGGCCTTTTTACTATTGTATATTATTGGTACTTTTTTTTGTGTGTGGTTATTTTTAATAGCATTACTAGAATGGCTAGTTATTGGTAAAATTGTATTTTTTGGGGGTATATTTATGTAAGACTCCCAAAAAACTATAGACTTATTATGACGTACACATTGTAAAATTAAAGTTTAACGTAATCAAGTAGCAGTCTGGACATTTATAGTGAATTGGGACCACTGAAAAAGATATTCCCAATATGCAGATATTAAATGAACTCTAAAGTAGAAATCCTTGAGAATCAAGCTGATAAATTTAATATTAATATCTAAAGTTATAAATTTATATATATTATTTATTTTTAAAGTTTAAATAACTTTTAAGGTATTACATTGAATCCATAAATTTTAAATAATCTTTAAGATATTAATGTTGAACCTAATATATTTTTAGAGCTATGAGTTTATATTTATTATTTATTTTTATTTAATAATTTTTTGTTTATAAATTTATATTCCATATCGAATTTATTGAGTCCGGATAAACATGGTACTACAAAACTGAATACGTCCCTGCTGATGTGTGGATTCTTTCCTTTATTATTAGGCGGATGAGTGTTGATTGCTGGTGAGAATGATGGTGGTCGGATTGATGGGGATGGTCGATAATGGAGGCTATGATTGAGGTTGACTGTGGCATGGTGGTGGCGGTGGTGGGGGTTGAGTATGGTGGTGGTGGCGGCAAGGTGGTAGTTTATAATGGTAGGCGGTGGCGGCAGTTAATAATGAATATGTGATAGCATCTTAATGAAATTAAGTCTCTGTTATAGATCTTAATCATACAGATCTATTCAGACCCATTAAGTGGTTGTGAAGTAAAAAAAAACATACACACTTAATGATTAAGATCTGAATAATTAAGATTCAGACTTTAAAAACAAACGCACTTAATATCTGAGATCTGAATGATCAAGATTCAGACGTCCATTAAGTGCAAACAAATGAGGCCTTAGTGTAGCTTTGGAAGTAATTGAAATTGCTTTGACTCAAGCATAACTGAATGCTCTCTCCCATAAGCATCCTTTTCAATTTAATTATACAAAAAAAAGTAACCTCGAACATGCAAAGCAATAATAAAAAATGGCGTTTTTATTTGTCTTTTTGGTTTGCATTAGTGACGGAAAACAACTTAATTAATAACATAGTTAATCACTGGTAAATGATATTTATATCAAACAAATGAATACATGATACACGTCTTCATATATATGGGTATTATCTAAACTATAGTTAACTAATACATATTCTCAATTCAATTTAATTTATTTAGTTTTTGTTGTTTTCACAGATATTAAGGAATTCACCTTTTAATATTAGTTAATAGTGAAATTGGCCATATCAACCTTCACTTTGTTCATTAAAAATATAATGGATACTTAGAGACTTTTTTACTCCGATGGCAACTTTGGAAAAAAAGAAGTTAATTCTTTGATATCTGAAAAAATCAAATATTGTGGATCATAAAAAAAATATTAAAAAATCAATTAAAGTGAACGGGAGAGTAATAAATTTAGAATGATTTGATGTAAATACTAAGTAAGTAGGAGCAAATTCTTATATATTAATGTTGTATATAGATTTTCATCGTATACGTAGATGACTTAAGATTCCACGGATTTTCACTTGCTCTCTTTAAAAACCATCCTTCTTTTCCATTTTCTACGATTTGCTTGTTGCTATCCTATCAGAATATCAAAAAAAAATTATATGCAAAAAACTCCTTTAAATATTGCCAATTGCAAGAGTGACTGACCAGCAGTAAAATGAAGTCTTTGGAATGTTAGGCATCTCTATATAATGTACACATTGTAAACTTAGTAAAGTTTAGAGTCTAATAAAACGTACTGATTTAGTTTTCGATAAACAATCAGCAAGAACTTTGTGTTTGTTATTATTGTCTTTGATAATGAATTTCAAAATTAACATTTTTTTTTTCCAGGTTTTGTATAATAAAAAAATGGGGATCATCTCTTTTTGGTTGTCAATATATTGAATTGGGTTTGGGAGCACTGCATGAAAAATACTTACTGAAAGTCGAAAAGCACACGCATAAACTATTCTTGCGGAGTTCCAAGAACTCTTTCTTCCTTAGAGCTCTCTTCCTCTTCATAATGCTAGCTGCTCTCTTTCTCTGTTTGGTGCTTATATTCAAAGATCATGTTGTAGATTCATATATCCATTTTGGGATCTCCTTGTTCCCAAGGATTTGGTATCATTTTGCTTCAGAGAATCTGTCTGTTGGCAAATAAGGTAAAATCACGGATTCCTTTGTGGTTTTCGTATTCTTTACATTTTTTTCTGGTTTTAGAACTTGAGACAGAGATGCAGATTCTGTGAAATGAAATCATAGCAGTACCAAAAGGGTACTAGTATTTTTCTTATCTATATAAACGTGTGCTTACCATTCATATTTCAAGCCAAGACATCCCTAAACTTGAGAGTACTATTATTCCACTACATCTCCTCTTCTTCTTCTTCTTCTACTACTACTACTACTTGATTCTTCAATACCTCTGCAATGGCGGTTCCTCGTTTCTTTTCTGAGCTCATTGAGGGTAGAAAATGCCCCAGCAATCCTTTGCCCTCTCACCCTATACACAGAACGTATACAGCGAGCTGCCCTCGAATAATTTCATTCGTTGAGGGATGCTACGCACACCCCATTCACAAAGACTGTTTGTAGTGGTGTCATTCTGTTGGGACGGGCGACAATCCTGATAAGCTCGTAACGAGCTGCTTTCTACGCTAGTTCATGATGTATCAGAAAGGTGTTACCATCACTGTAATTCTAAGAGCATCTCGGCAATCATTGTGTGTGTGTGTGTGTTTATGTGTGTCAAGCTCTGGGTGCTGGAGATGTTTCTGCTGGTTGTGGCCCTGTTTAGGTTCATTGTGTGTTGGTTTGTTCAGCAGTGTCAATGCGATTGCATTGACAAATTTTGTACAAAATGTCGCTGACTTTTCCCTTTTTGATATTTGTGGATTCTGGATTTAAAGAGAAAGTGATATGTTCGAGTTTATTTATAGCACAAATAAAACAACTCGCGATATAGATATAGCTTAATGAAGAAAACTTGATTTGCAAAACATTACAGTAGGAACAAAACTATCGACTTTACTCGTATAATCAAGTTCATTTGCACCTGCGAAAAAATATTGTTATTATTTGTTACTATCTTATATTTATTAAATTACCGCCCTCATTACTTAATAACAGAATGAGATAAATTAATTTAACATGAAGCAACAGACGTGTTATCGGTTGAGATATCAAGTATGTGTAAGTTGTATGCAGAATTGTGATGCTATCGCATATTCGCATAATCGGTAGAGTTATCAGCATTTCGTCACTTTTCAAAATCCGAAAAATATTCCAGCATAATATACTGGAAGTTCGTACACAGGTGCTCCAATCTCCAGTATATAAGTTGGTTTTGCATTTGGGATACTAAACAACGTAAAAGAACATTTTTCGAGTTAATTTATGTTTGGCAAGATCCTGAAGATCCCAATTTTGTTTATATCAACTTCCCTTTCTTGCCTGTTGTTGAAGCCTTCCGTTGAACTTTCAGTTTTTGTGCTCCCTTCTTTGGACCCTGCTTGCTCATTCCATGCCTTCTTGCATCCTTCTTCATTCGTCGATCAACAAGAACTTTCCCCTTGCCAACCTTCACTTGAACACCCCTCTTTGCCACTACATATTCTTTTCCTGGTGTTTTAGGTGTTGCCTTCTTGTAAAGCTGTTCGATCATTCTTGTCTTTGAGCGATCAGAAATATCTGCTTGGTCTGATATCGAGTTAGCTTTCTTCCGAATTTTCTCTAGCTTTCTCTGAGCAGCCCTTTTCTTTCGTGCTTTGGCTTCTGCTACCTTCTTTGCAGGACGAGCATTGATTGCTTTAAACTGAGCTCTCATTGCAGCAACTTCCTCTTTCGTCACTGGTTTTATTGGCTGTCGATGCTTCTGCTCCTCGTCCACAAACCACTTTGGCAACCCCTCATCGTGAAACATATACTTATTGTAACCATCGTCCATCATTTCCTCTCTCCGCCTTTTCAAAATTATCTTCTTTGCTGTAGCCACTATTTCAGCCTTTCTGTCGCTATCCTCACCTAATTCATCTGACTCATCAGACGACGAATCACTTGAATCTGTAGATGGTGCAGGAACAATCTCAAAATCTTCTACTGTCTCAGATGCTGGGATTTGGACCAACTCTTCATTAGTCTGTGTCTTAGAATTTGGGACACTTTCTCCTACTCGATCTATTAGCATTTCATCGTCGCCATTATACTTGTCCAACATTTCTTGCTCTTCCGGTTCCACAAAAACATCTTGAGTAAACCATGTTTTTATAACCTCCTCTTGAGATGGAGCGGTTTCTAGAGGTATGACTAGAGGATTTGCTTCATCCTCTCCCATATCAATGTCAGACTCTTGAGCAGAATGAGCCATACCATCTTCTTCACTACCCTGGACATAGAGTAAGGAATCTCAATCCTTTTAACTTATTTTTAAACCAAACAAAAAAAAGGCAATTTGGTTGAAGCCACAAAGGCAAATGAACTGGTTCAATAAAAGAGTCATAATAATAGTGTTTGGGTGCTGAAAGAAAACTAGAAACCGCATTATGGGTGTCATGTCAGCAGGGCAGGTATAGTCCAAATTTAAGCGCCTAAGATGGTCCGAGTCAATGAATGGATTATTGATTTCGGTTGTGTGCCTAAATTGATCCATCAATGAATATATTTCAGTCTAATTTTAACAGAGTAAAACATTACTATACCTGCAAGAGTTTACCATCATCCAAGTACGATATTTTGGATCGCTTTATCCGCTTTAGTTTTCTTTCCGCTCGAGCCATATACCTTTCATTTTGGTCCTCAACCAACCTCTCTATTTCATCGTTACGTCTGAAAATTTAAATGAACAAGTTCCAATAGGACAACATAATCCAATAATCATTTTTTGAAACAGATCCAAAAGAAGAGTCAGGTTACCTTCTGCGCTCTTCTTCAGAGTCCTCATCGCTAGATGCATTTTCCGGGGCTTCCCCGTCATTTTCATCATCTTCACTGTTTACTTCAGCAGTTTCATCATCACATTCATTGTCATCAACAGTTTCGACATCTCTCGTACCCTGAAATATACGGGCCAGACACTCGGCTTAACGGCAAAGTAAAATTTAAAAAGAAAAAGATGAAAAGTAAATGATATTTAATTCATGTTAGACCACAACTGAATGCAAAATTAGGAATGATAGACAAAGAAAAGGGGTAACATGTAAAAGCAGGTCTACCCTCCACTTGAGATCTAATGTCCATCGACATTATGAACAATTTATTGTTCTGTTTTTATTCTCAAAGGTGCTGAAGGAGGCAAAGGAATGAACCTATAATTCTATAAACAAAGTTTTCAAGGGGTGGATACTCCAAATTTTTCCCTCTGACTGAAAAGAGAAAGCATATCTCCTTTAAAAGCTGGTGTTATTCAATAGATGGTTATTTGACGACAGCATGTAAAAATAATAATTGCAAAACTAAAACCTTGAATCTAATACCAAAATTATGACATGAATAGCAAAGAGCAAAGTCCTGGAACCAAAGGTGACAAAGTAAAATGCTTTCTTTATCTGAATAAGGGTTGCATTTACTATGAAATGACAAAAGCAAGCAGAGTGAAGGTGGGCCATACCTTTATCAATGTTAGAGAAAACAGCTCCTGATCAACATAACCATCTTCCGTTGCATCTGATTGCATACCCAACACCTCGCGTGCTTTGTCCTGTAATTTTGAAAGGAAGGGAAAGTAAGCTAATGGTAACAACAGTAAGGAATATAAAGACAAACAATGATCACAGTTTCAACATCTTCATGACGATGAACCAAAAGATTCGCAAGAAATGCGTATTTGATTCAGAAACAAACTGAGTTCAAGTGGTAGCATCTATACAGAAAATTGATTTAGACAAACAGAACACCGGTGAACTCTGGCATCTGCTTTTTCATTACAGACCAACAAGGAAAAAGGAGGGGAGGGAAGCAAGTTTGCTAGAAGCGTTGGAAGACGAATTCTTAGCATTGGAGAAAACGGGCTGAGTAGAGTGCAACAGATACAGAAAACTTCATAGGTTATCAAGAAATAGTTGATCAATCGATTAAACACCAGTGAAATAGCCAGCAATACTTTATCTAAAAGAGCCTGGAATAGGTTTTTTGGGGAGTACCCAGATCCCACCATTTGCTACTGATAAACAAACAATCAAATACAGATTATAGCTGGTCTGCTGAACTGCAAAGTTTTTGTTGGTCTATGCTTTGACAGGTAAGGTACACTGAGCAAGGCGATTTCAAAGAAGCACCGAAACCAATAAAACCAAATTCATTTAAACCAAAAACAAATCAAACAAAAGAAAGAAAAGAAACGTATAAGTTTTGGACTTTGGTTTATTTGTTCTCTCTATGATTATCCTACACTCAACTATCACAGTTCAAGAGTCATACGATGATTTATGCTACGGAAAGGGACAGGTAAATTATATGCATTGACCTTGGCTAGTCTTTTAGCTAGAAGCCTTTTTTCTCTTTTCTTTTTTCTCAGTGCAGTATCCTTCAACTCCTCCATTTCTTCAACAAGTCTTTTATCTTCATCCTCTTCGCTCTCACATTCAACTACCGCTTCCAGATTACTAATTTTCTCTGAAGGAGCCAAAGCTTTCCTCATAAGCTTACGCCACCTACAAGGCAAAGGATATTTATGAAAACTTATAAGAAAGAGGGCATCATTCTAAGGTGTTGTCTCCTCTTATTGAACAGTAACAACCTAAACTGATTCGATTCTATTAACAGTCTAAGACATGCTTTTCTATTATGAACATCAAAATCTAAGAAATTTTCGTTCCATACTTTGAAAGTTGTTTGAGGTCTTGCTCCCCCAGAACACGCAAGTCCTCACATAGTGTTCTAACCTGGTATATAAACATCAAATGGTAAGGCAACACAAAGAATAAAAGACTACGAAGGATGCTTCTGACAAATACAAAAGCCAAGATTGATCAGTGTTATACCTCTTGTGTCGTCAGCGGATGATCTCTCATTGGTAAAGAAGCAGGATCATCAAACGTTATTGAAGTAACTGAACCAAGGCTCTTGATATCAGACAACACAAAATCGGCAGCAGAGCAGACCTTCCTTAAGAGTATCTCCCCATCTTCATACCTATTGGTTTTAGTTGGATACAAAATAGAAATAGAAGCATATAATCATATTAATGCAAATAGGATAACAAGAAGAAGTTAAATTACAAGTCCATAGTAAATCATCATTTAGTGAACTAGAATAAAACAAAGCCAAATAAAAGGAGTCATCTAACTGTGACAAAAGATAGAATTTGTTGTCTGAAACAAGATGACAACACCACTGCTTCATCAATTTTGCCTGGGTTTTAAGGCTTCCTAGAATTCTAAGCATGACGAACATTTGTTTTAACAACGGCCAATTTCACATGGACTAAGGCCAATGCGCGTAAGCATAAATAAGATTATAGACAGATGATTTACCCTTCAGGTATCTCTTCTGTTTCGTCCCTCTTAGTACATCGACTACCTATTTAAACATACAGTCACTAATTTTTTTTTTTTTTTTTGATAATCACACAAGATAGTCTTTGTTGAAAGTGCCAATAAAGGGAGAAAGATAAAATGCATAATTTCAGTACCTTAGGAGGTTCTTTACCCCCTTGAAAGAGGTGCTTTATATCAAGAAGGCGAGGATCAATCTTAGCAGGGGCCTTATATTTTAAACCAATAATATATATTTCTGCAGATTCCGAACGACTTGCTAAAGGTTTATCCACCTCAACCTTCTCAAAAAGCTGCCAATTAAATGCAAAGGTGGTGGTTCATTTGATCTATATAAATGCTAAAAGTGGAATTAAGTATTGAAAGGAAGGAAAGATACCTGTCTTAGACAGTAAAGAACAACATTATAGTCTTGAGATCTAAAAACCTACAATCCGACAGCAGATCAGTATGCTAGACAACTTTGGTTCTATTAGGTACGTACAAAGTATTTGCGTCTGGAAAACTGGATAGTCGTGGGTGAATCCACACAGATGTGATGCTTTTAAACACAAAACTCAGGTAAAATCAAAATGATAGCATTGCAATTTGTAAAAATAAATGTTTCCAGCTATCCCACCTAACACTCGCAGGAAAGAACAAAAGAAGTAAACCTTAGTAAACTAATAAATATGTTTAGATAAGTAAATTGCCAATGGAACATTGCCTGAGCTACATATATATGTCCTTTCATTCAAACAGGCCTTTGTGTGAGTCGAGAATTATATCTTTACTCTCATAGGGACTATGCCAGGAGGGGACAAAAAACACGCGCGCGGGTGTGTCACTGTGTATCACCAGAATACTAAAGTAACATACTAGATACTATAACTTATAAGCTTCCATTTTCCCCACCCACCCCAAAATAAGTAACAAATAACATAATAAAGCTTCCCTTCAGCCGTCCCCAACATAATGAGTCACAACATAGGCATATGTATACATAGAGACAGAGCAATACTAAGTGTAACAAACTAGACAACCAGCTTCCCTGCTTCCCACCAACCCCCAAGAAAAAAGACAAAGAACATATAAGTATTATTTTTGAAATAAGTCAGAAAAGTTACAAAGAAAAAGTAAATCAAATTTTGCTAACATCCACTATGATAACTCATAGAATTAAAACCTCATATGACAGTCACTTATGAGGGTAAAAACAGATATTTTAAAATCCCTTTAACATAATAGAAATACAGTTCAAATTCCAAGTATGACTTTTTGGATTATTTTTGAATCTCGTGAAAGCAGCTACTAATGGTTACATTAGGGTAGGCTATCTACATCACATACTTAGGACGTGGCACTTCCCGATCCCCGCGTGAATGGGGGACCGGGCTACCCTTTTTTTGGCTACACCATTGTGTGTGCTTATAGGCATGTGTGTATTGAAGTTTCCCTCCTCCACAGAAACCCGACAAGAAAAGAGAAACAACAGATATAGTATACATTGAGTTTGATAACAATATCCATATGAATATCCAAATAAAATAAGAGACCAACTACAGTATAAAATACCCCAAAATGAAAAAAAAGAATAGATTTTGATAACATTCATATGAATATAATAATCATATACTAATAAAAACCTCCATATACACGTACCTTAGTAACAAAAGTTCCATTACGAGCTAAGAATTCAGCAGCAAGCTTAACAGAATCAATGACCAAAGCATTCTGCAGAGTAGCTTCCATAGCCCAAGCTCCACCAATATTAGGAGACCCATCATGTAATACCAAATCAAACCCTCTAACACCCTTTTCAGCCATAATTCTTTTAATTGTTGATTTACACTTTGGCGTCGTAATATCTTCTTGTACAGCAATTGCACCGCGAATTGGCCTAATGGGAACAATGTCTACGCCTACAACAAGGCTGCCGACGGGTACTTTCTTGACGGCGACTTGCATCCAACCGCCGGGAGCGGCACAAAGATCGATGGTCTATTAATTAATGAGAGTAAGCAATGTAAGAGAATTCATAAAGAACTTTCTAGTTCTTTAATATTTACCCATGTGAATTCTCTTTTATTTTTGCACATCATACTTGAATTAACATGGCTAAACCAATTATGCCAACTGGATAAATTATCAATATTGATAAACTTCAGGTTTACACCATGATGTGTGCAATTATGAATAAACTCCAAGTTTATTATGAATATCGGTTTTTATATCAATAAATATCCACTTCATTGTGGTATTCTTTTGTTTATGTAGTACAAATTAGAGAATAAAGCGAGTAGCTTTTCACATACATATTACCCGCTACAAGTTGTAGTAATAGAAGATATTAAATCTTTTCTTTATTTATAGTCTCAATATAATCAACCGCTTTCGCGTATACTTTGGAAACTGAATAAGTTTCTTTGAGACTTACTACAACACAATACCTTATTGGTAATTAATTGTATTTCTCCAAAATAGTATAATTGGCTCTTGCAGAGTTCTCAATTAATTTTGTAGTACCACATATTCATCAACACCCATATGGTGAATATCTCTTTTAAAGAGAAAGTTATACCATTATGGTTATGGTCAAAATTATATGCAAGATCTGTTTCTTGCATTACCGTTGTCTTTTAACAATCACAATGCCAAAATATTTTGGCGTACAATAGGTACGTGACCAATGACCATTCATGCCATAATAATGACATTATTTTCTTATATCATCTCAAACCTCCTTTTAGAGGTGAGTGCAGTATATTCACTACCACTAGCACGTTCATATTCTTTGAAGAATAAATATGTATTCATAAATCAGATGTTGTCACATTCACATCATGAATGGACCATAATCATCTATAGGTGCTTTACAAAATCTCATGTCAAATCGATAACAAATATTTTTCACAGAGTGAAAGATTATTTTGAGAATCCTTATTGTTCTCATTACCACAAATGATGGCGATTATAATTTCGTCTATTGCCACGTCCATATCTATTGATACATTTATTGTGACGACCCGACCCGTCGTCTCATGTATTACAGCCCCGTTTTCCCCATTTATTGCTCTTTCATGTTTTATTATCAGCAACGGGTGAGTTAGAGTTAAAGTGAATTGATTTGGATAGGAAATGAGACACTTAGTCTCTTTAAGGAAGGTTTGGTTTGAAAAAGTCAACCGAACGTTGACTTATTAGTTAGAAGGCTCGAATGTGAATTCCGGTGATTCGGCTAGCTTCGGGAGGTGATTTGTGACTTAGGAGGGCGATCGGAAGTGATTTTGGAGGTCCGGAGTAGAATTAGGCTTGAATTGGCAAAGTTGATATTTTGGCGAATTCCAGTGGATAGGTGAGATTTTGATCCGAGGGTCGGAATGGAATTCCGGGAGTTGCAGTAGCTCCGTTAGGTGATTTTGGATATGTCTGCAAATTTTCAGGTCTTTCGGACGTCGTTTGGTCGGGTTTTTGATCGAATGCGTAATTCGGAAGTTTTTAAGAAACTTAGGCTTGAATTCGATGTGATTTGATGGTTTTAGCGTTGTTTGATGTGGTTTGATGATGGGAACAAGTTCGTATGATGTTTTGGGATATGTTGGTGCCTTTGGTTGAGGTCCCGGGGGCCACGGGATGATTTCGGATGGCTAAACGGAGGTTTTGAACTTTGAAAATGCTGCAGAAAATTGCCCAGCTGTTGCAGACCAAAATTGGTCTTCGCGTTCGCGTCTGTAGGCACGCGTTCGCGGAAGGTAAAATCTTAGACCATCGCGATCGCGTGGGAAGGCCTCGCGTTCGCGTAGAAGGGCCTGGGGGCCCAGCCTAGTTTGTTCATCGCGTTCGCATGCGGTGTATCGCGTTTGCGTAGGAGGGTAAGCTGGACCATCGCGTTCGCGTTTGTAGTATCGCGTTCGCGTAGGGTAATATTTTGGTCAACGGAATTTGTTCAATGCGAACGCGGGGGTGTTGACCGCGTTCGCGAAGGAAAAAAAAAACCTGGGCGTCCAGAGGGGTTTTTTATATTATTTTAACCGCGATCCCATTCATTATTTCCTCCATTGTTAACCTTCTTAAGAGCTTTGGGCAAGAAATTTCGAGGGTTTTGACTGAGAATCGAGTGGAGGTAAGTTCCTTGGCTTAATTACTCGAGTTTATGGTAAATTTATCATAGAAATCAGTGGAAATTCATCAAAATGGGGTAAGTTAGGGCTTGAGAAATTAGGATGTAAAAATGGAATTTGGAGGGTCAAACGAACTCCGATTTTGGTAAATTTTATATGTACGGACTCGTGGCGAGACGAGGAATCCGGTGATGTAAATTTCATAATTTTTCGAGAAGTGGTCCCAGGGCTCGGGTTTTGCCAACTTCGTGAATTTTGGTGTTTTTTGAGTCTTTCCGATTGGGTTATGTTTCGTTAGCCTATTGTAATATATTCGTTGTGGTTTTAATCAGATTCGGAGTGCGAAGAGGTTGATTCGAAAGGCAAAGGCATAGCGAGCTAGACTTGTAGCCGGCTTGAGGTGAGTAATAGATGTAGATGATGACCTGAGGGTTTGAAACCCCGGTATATCACATTATGACGCTATATTGAGGCGAGACACGTACTCTATGACGAGTGCGGGGTCAATTGTGACTGGGGATTTTGACCTAGTCCGTACCGATTGATGTTCGTACTGTGTTCTTGACTAGAAATTGTTTGGTAATCATCCTACTTGGATTTTATGAATATGTTTGGGGCTTTGTGCCTATCATTTGCATCCTTCAGGGATCCTTATCACTGCTTCCATGATGCTTAGCATATTTCATGATATCAGTCCTGAGTTAGACACTTCCTTGAAATGTTTAGTAAATAAACAAAGGTTTACACACTTAGCTCTATAATTCCTAATAATTGAAACTAAAAATGGACAATTTGACTATGCCCGAGTGGCTTGCATGCATATATATATCTGGACTGAGTGTGGATCGGGCTGCACGCCGCAACAAATATTACGATGATATTGCGCTTGGGCTGTAGGAGCCCCTCTGGAGTCTGAACCCCCACAGTGAGCGCGGGTACCCAAATGGATCGGGCTGCGCGCCGCAGCAGTCATGTGCATTGCATTCATGCATTTACACCTATTTGTCTTACTTGTCCTGGTATTGTTGTGGTCCCACCGTTTTATGTGCTGAATCACTGATTATAGCTTTATATTGTAATATTTCAGGATTTCTTACTTTCAGCCATTATATATGTTTATTACTCACTGAGTTGGAAGTACTCAATTTACTCCCTGCACCATGTGTGCAGATTCAGGTGCTCCGGAGACTTAGTGGAGCTGTTTGCTGTCTTCTTGGATTTCGTTTTAGGAGTTGTTGAGGTAGCTGCCTGACGTCCGCAGGACCCGACTTCTCCCCTTTATTTCATTTATTTCTTCCGTATTCTAGACTTCTCTATCACTATGGATATATATATTACTCTATTACATCTAGAGGCTCTAGACTCGTGACTCCAAATCTATTGGGGGAATGTTTGGATATTCGTTATTATTTTCCGTACTATTTTATTTAGATTCGGATTGGGACCTTGATATTTGCTATTCTAATCGTATTATTTGTTAACGAATTGCGTATTTGGGTTGAGAGTATTTAATTGGTCGGGCTTGCCTAGCATTAGTGTTGGGCGCCATCACGACCGGGATTGGGGTCGTGACAAGTTGGTATCAGAGCCTAGGTTACTAGGCCTCGCGAGTCATGAGCCGGTTTAGTAGAGTCTCGCGGAACGGTACGGGGACGCCTGTACTTCTCCTCGAGAGGCTGCAGAACCTTTAGGAAAACTTCCCATTCTTGGAGTTCTTATCGTGCGTACTTGATTCAGCTTGAGATATAACTCTTGAAATTCCTTCCACACGTCTGTATGCACACATGAACGCTCGGTATTATATGTGCTTTGATGGTTTATGTTTTCCCCGATCGAGGGGCGATAGGTAATCTTTGTGAGTATATCGGGCCAATCTGGAGGACTTGAGGCCGGATCTTTGCCTATGGCTTGAGCACCGGGGTGCTAATTGTGCGAGCAATTGTTTTGAACTTATATGTCCGGTATTGTCCCTATTAGTGGGAATGATGGTTGGATAGCTACGCGAGGAGTATGTTAGTACTGCGAGATGTATATATATGACTTAGAAGTGACGAGGAAGGGCTACTGGATGATAGATGAACTATTAAGTGTTTGATTTTCATTGTGATTAGATGTGTAGCCTCGAGTTATGGGCGCATGAAGAATCTTTTCATGTCTCCTATTTGGAGTGAAGTAAATTTCATGTTACGGTATGAGTTTAGACTCAGGAAGATTAAGTGATTGCGTAATGTGTATGACAGTGGAAGGTATACAAAAAATATTAACTAATGGTAAAGCTAATGGGTAATTGGCTTATGAGGGGAAACTAATTGTCATACTAGTTAGATAAGCCTGGGAGCTGAGATCGCTTTTGTAAATGTATTATGATGAAATCTATGAGTCGAGGAGCCCACCTTGAAGGTCGAAAACATTAAGGAAAGAAAATGTTCTTTCTTGGTTGAATAGCCCAATAATGGAGGATCGAAAGGTATTTTCTATGTGTTACGATTCAAATAGGCACAACGCATGTCCATGTATCAATTTTGATAATATAATACATGTAATATCGAGATTAATGTTATGGATATACATTGTGATGCTTTGTCAAGTTGTGGATGTGTTGTTAGGATGGTTTTGGTGATTCTCTGGCAGGTGGATAGGCCCAATTACAAAGGAGACTCTGCCGAAAATTTTTGAAAAATTTGGGACTTAGTAAAAATTTGGTCGCCTAGAGAGTGGACTTAACTGTGGTGTGAGTGAACGCAAGAATTGCAGGAGAGTTAAAATTCCAGATGATTTGTGTTTCCACAAGCTTATGAAAGAGTCAGTTTAATCTCACTATGGTATTACGACAACAATGGAGTATATGCGTTATGAGTATAGTGTGTTGTGATATATGGC